GGGCTGAGGGGGCAGCAGGTCCTGGGGGGGCCTTGTCTGGGCTGGGGAGTCTCCCTGACTCCACTGCATGAGGGCAGACAGGCCTGAAGTCTGCTGCACGTCAGGGTATGACGCTTGCGCTGTCTGTGTCCCCTCCAGCAGCTCTGCTCGCTGTCCGGACGGGTGCTCTGCCGGCCTGTTTTGGGGCACGTGTCTGTGCAGTGCGGCTATCGCGGAGACTCCCCCACGGACTCGGGGAAGGACATCCTAGAGATCCCCTTACCACCCTGGCAGGAGCGCCCCAATGAGCCGCTGGAGACCAAGCGAGCCCGACTGCTGTATGAGAGCAGGAAGAGGGGCATGCTGGAGAACTGCATTCTGCTCAGGTGAGGTGCCGGGTGCTTGTCCTCCCACCGGAGCTGCAGCACGCACGCCCTGAGCCCCGTTCCCTCCCAGCTTTTCAGCAAGCCTCTTGCAGCTTCATCTGCCTCCCCTGCGTCAGGACGTCTGGGTTGCTATGCCCTGACAGTGCTCGTTTGTCCGCTGCAGATGGGAGTAGGCAGGGATGGAGCATAGTTTGCAGAAGAGACAGTGCCAACACTAGCCACACCAGAGAGATCAGGGAGGAAGTGAGAAAGGCTGGCCAAGAGGTAGCTGCCGTATAGTTCAGCTCCCTAAAGAAGTTACAGGTTTTTAATTAACAGGGAAGAGCTGGAGGTGCACTAGTGCACAGCCATAATCTAAAACCTAATGAGATGTAACATTGCTAAGGGGATGGAAAGCAAGTATCTGAGGCTCTGCTTGTGAGCAGTCAGGTGAACCGCTGTGAGAGCATCACCTGTACAGGTCTGCGGTGCAGTGATTAGCACTGCTGCAGGGTAGGATGGGACAGAACTAGAGGCCGCCTGAGGCAGGAGATGTCTAGAGGAAGCTCCTCCTAGCGGTAGATCGAGTCAAATTCCTTTGGGAAGGATGTATGCTAGATCTGGGATATAGGAATAGGGCAGGGGAGGGGAGTGTCTCGCCTTCTGTGTCACGAGTACCAAAGGAGCAGTGTGAGATTGAAGGCAGTGATAAAAGGAATTTTTTCCCGTGCTCTCCGAGGCTGGAGGTAGCTCTTTGAGCTCAGAACCTCACAGAAAGTGAGCACCGCTGAAAGCTTCTGGGTTCCAGCAGGGGTTTAGTGAAGTTCATTAGCCAGTTCAGCAGTGCTAAGGCCTCTTGGACTGCAGGACTAAAGAAGTGGTTAATGGCTGGAGAGCAGGCTAGGACTTAAGGCAGAAGACAGGTCACCTTGGATTCAGCTCCTCTATGTCTTCTTGCAGCATTTAGAGAGCTGGGCACCAGGCAGTGTCAGGATCAGCGTGCCAGCCCGGCTCTTCCTGCAGTCACCCTTGCTCATGTTCATATATCTTCTCTCCTCCAGCCTCTTTGCAAAGGAGAACCTGAATCGCATGAGTGAACGGCAGCTGAACCTCTATGACCGGCTCATCAATGAGCCCAGCAATGACTGGGACATTTACTACTGGGCAATAGGTACAGTGCAGCCGTCTGTTGCCCTCCTGGCTCTGACTGCAATCTCCTGCCCTGATTTGAGGTTCAGGGCAAGAGACGAGGCCAGGATCGCTCTGGGGTGCAAAACATTGGGCTTGGCATGGCTGGCGTCATGCTGAATGCTTTGGGAGAGGGTAGAGCCAACCATTGTCGTGCTGCCCCTTTTTTTACTGCAGAAGCGAAACCCACGCCAGCTGTGTTTGAGAACGACGTCATGGCCATGCTGAAGGAGTTTGCCAAGAACAAGAACAGGGAGCAGAGGCTGCGGCAGCCAGATCTGGAGTATCTCTTTGAGTCACCCCGCTGATGGCAGGGCTGCCTTCTGCCTCCTCATCTCTTGGAGCTGTGCAGGGCCACCAGGGTCTCTGTGGCAACCTCAGTGCTGCTGTGCTGCCCTCCCCTGTGGCCCTTCTCCTCTGGCGGTGGCTGCTCTCTTGGACTCTCAGGGCACAGCAAATAAAGCTATGGCTGCTAGTCCCAGTGCTTGTGCTTTCTGGCCAGGCTGCTCCCATCCTGCTCTGTTGTGCGGGGAGGCGTCTGCTTTCTGCTGGCACTGGGAATGAGGACTTGGAGGACGCAGTAGCAGTTCATGAGTTTGCTGCAGCAGATGCCAGCTCACCGCTGGCTGTGACAATTACAGTCCCTTGGCCGTTCCTTCTAAACCCTCCTCTAGGGGTCTTGGGGAGGTGAGCCCTCAGCCGGAAGTTGGAAGCGAGGCGAGGCAAAACCTGTGCCGCCAGCAGACCCTCGCCTTGACCCCAGTATGAGGTCAAGGGGACTGGTGCGCGTCCCAGCTGTGCAGCCCTGCCCCAGCATAGAGCTGTCTGCTGGAGCTGCTGGTTGTGAGCCTGTGGCATGTCCTCGGGGAAGGTGGCAGCTCCTGGACTGCTGCCAGCCTTGGCCTCTTCCTTTTCCACTCCCCCAGCTTCTCCTGAGGCAGCTGTAGCTGAGCGCAGTGCCCTTTGCTGGGGAGGAAGGGGAGTGCGCACCCAGCCTGTGCTGTCAGCATGGTCGGGGTTCTCAGTCCTCAGAGAACCAGCAGGAAGAGTGCGAAAAACACCTCCACGCAACCATCTTGAGGATGTAACTGCAGATCTATGGGATGTAGTGAACAGGGGCAGCAAATAGCCCCAGATAATCGGTCTTCTGCTGCCCTCTGCCACAGAGATGCTCTGGCAGTTTCTTCTACTGCTGGTGGTGAATGGCTCTCACATGGAGCATCGCCTGGCAGTGCTGACCCAGAGGGAGGTGTCTCCTGTACCTCCTCGCAAGCTTTCCTAATCACCCAGGCCTGTGCGTGGGCCCTCTCCAGTGAGGTCTCTGCTCAGCGTCCTTGATTCTGTACTGGCCGTAGGGTCTGGTGCTGGTGTCCCACTTTGTGGACACATGAACGCTTTGTGGGTTGTCCCAGCTGGGCTAGCAGACCCAGGCCGTGGAGACAGTCCCTGTCCAGCAAGCATGGCCCTGTGCATCACTGTGCGCTGGTTGCCGCATTGCCATCCCAGTCTGCGCTTTCCTCCATGGTTGTCTGCTGGCCACCGCCGTCTCCGGGTCCTCAGGGCAGGTAGGGAGGGCACTGGGCTGCCATGTCCTCCCCCAGGCAGCCCTGGTCCTGCAGATGCCATGCAGGCCTGCTCTGATGGTGCTGGGTCAGGGCATGGCTGGAGCATGGGGCAAGGCAGCCCGTCTGTCCATCCATGCCTGTGCTGAGCTGCGCTCCCACTGTAGTCTCAGCCCCAGGGCTCCTCACCACTCACCGTGGAGCACCTGGTGCTAGTGCTGGCTCCCCTCTGCGAAGGCAAGTGCAGGGGGCAGCGAGGACCTCTCGCGTTTCTATGCTACGGACCTCTCCAGGACCCCCCGCGGGGCCGTGCTGGGGCACGGGGCGCTTTGCAGATGCTCACGGTCTCACCCAGCGGGATAACGACCTTCCTCTCGGTGTCCTCGGTGCGCCCCGACCCCGGCCAGCCCTGGCTCACAGAGGCCAGGCCCCCCCGCGGGGCCGTGCTGGGGCACGGGGCGCTTTGCAGATGCTCACGGTCTCACCCAGCGGGATAACGACCTTCCTCTCGGTGTCCTCGGTGCGCCCCGACCCCGGCCAGCCCTGGCTCACAGGGGTCGCCCCCCAGCTCCTCCTTGGCTGTGCGGGGCCGGGCCT